GAATTCAAATTAGTTAAGAATATCTAGTTTTCTTATTTTTTGTTAAAATAAATTAAAAATCTGATTTTATCCATTTTCGTTTCATATTTCTCTCTTCGATTTTCTTCTAGAAATTTTGTTATCGGCGAATAATTGAAGTTTTTTTTTGTTTGAAAAAATGCTGATTTTTTTTTTGCGATGGACAACTACACATCAATATTAATTAAATAAGACGAAAGATGGGATCCTTCAAGTTAGTACATCGAATTGTTTACTATTTTTATTTGGATTTCAGTGAAATGAAAAAAATGAACATGTAAAACATATTTTGTGATTGAATGGGATATGCTTTTTTTTTTATAAACATGTTATTCATAATACGTATTAATTATTGTAAACTGTTATATTATTGATTTTATTGTTAAGTTTCTTTTTCTTTTTTCTTTTGTTTTGTTCATACTGTCAAAATAATAATTTCTCGAAAAATTGCAGCAATATATGAAAGATTTGAGTATAAATGTATAACATATAAGTATTTTTAACATTGTAGATTGGATACGGACATTAAAATTATAATATTGATTAGTGTTTTTTTTATTCTGAAAATATAATTAAATATATAGTTTTGAATGAATTTCTTAGTATAAATGTTATTGGTATGAAAATATATTTACTAATGTGTAAAAAAAGTTATTAAGAATTTCGAAGAATTGTACGACAAGTGTTTTAAATTTGTATGAAATTTGAGATGTAATTGTTTATATAAGTTTTGTCGATTATGTATAAATTTGTGTTAAAAAATGAACTATTTGATATGAAAAATGTATAAATTTGATATAAATGATGATTGTATCTATTAAATTTGTATTAAATGGGTAAGGATAGCTGAAGTTTTATTTTTTGATATAATTTGTTTTGTAATTTACTGTTTAAATGATATTTGTATGAAAATATAATGACAAGTATATTTAATGTTTTAAAATGATAAGATATCATGCGGGCATGTAATGACAATTTTTAGATACAGAAGACCGCATGAAACAGAATGCTTCTCTCCTTTTATTAGCCTAAAATTTTTTCAAGATGCATATGCAAATCCTGTTGAACCTCTCCCGGGAGAGTACATGTAATATACCATGTTATATTTCAGAGTCTAAATTGTTGCCGCCAAATTCAAAGAGAACGGTAGGAAGACCCAACTTGAATGCTAGAAGGAATTTGTTGATGTGAAATTCGAACGGTCTAAAGTTACTTGCAGTAGATGTTGTCAAGTTGGCAACAACAAAATGACATGTTCAAATTATCACGTGCAAAAAAAATAATTATTTATTTTTTTAGACTATATATAATTTTTATTTTATTGTCTTTTAGACTCATGTTTTATTTTGATATGAAACATAATTGGTACTAAATGAATTATATTGTAGTGTTTAATATATTGATTATTCGTACAGATTTCATATACGTGAAAATAAAATCTATCCCAAATTAATATATAATATAGTATAAATATATGTGCAGATTTCAAATTCCAGATTTCATATACACAATTCATTAATTATTCATACAGATTTCATATACTTTGAAATAAAATTTATTCTGGATTAATATATAAGATACAATAAATATAGTGTAATACTGTAATATATAACAAACTTTATATAAATCTTATTAAAGTTTAATTCCAATATAAACTTCAGTTTACATCACACATATTATACCAATAATATATGTATTCATATAATCACACAATGCATATCATTTGTATAACAATATTATATTACAATTAATATAATATCCAATCATAACACATTAAATTCAGTGTCATACACATCTTAGTCAAAATTTCACACTCATTCATTTCGTAAGTGTACAATTTAGATACACATTGATATTTTAAAATAGTAAATTCAAATGGTATGAAGTTTATATATTACTAATATCCTGAAATTATAATAGACAATCAATAATTCAAATATAGATTGCATTCGACTAGAAAAAACATATGATATTATATATCATCAAGTACTAAAACACAAAAAAGTTGTCAAAAGTATAAAATAAAAAATAACATGTAATTCTAAAAAGTAGAATGTGAAATCAACTATTTCAAACTTCTTGTACGTGGTCTTGGTGTTGGATAATTGGTGGTATGCGAAACATGTTCTTATGCTATGTGGGGTTCATCAAATTTACTAGCAACCGTACCAGTAACTTCACTCTATTGATCTCGCCATTCTCACTCTTTGTTTTTCCATTATGTCATAGGATTTCAAGAACCTCTCTCGCCCGAGAAAACTCAACGGATCACTAAAAATACTCATGTTTGTACATGAAAATTAGTGTGTGGATACCTTCCTTATAAAATTGTTTATACATAATCAAAACAAACTTTACACCAATCATATTCAAGTTTCTTTCCAACGCTAACTTCATTTATATCACACATATTATACTGATAATAAATCAATTTCATATAAACATTCATATAATTTTTATTAATCAGATTTAATTCAAAATCATACACATATTAAACAGATTTCGCACATATTTCATCCAAATAATCTGTTTTGAAAAGAAATAACCATAATATGATATTTTGTTAATATCACATATATTATAGTGATAATAAATCAATTTCATATAAACATTCATATAATTTTTATTAATCAGATTTAATTCAAAATCATACACATATTAAACAGATTTCACACATATTTCATCCAAATAATCTGTTTTGAAAAGAAATAATCATAATATGATATTTTAAACAAAAATAACAAATTTGAAAATTCATACCATATATAGAGTCAATCGACAATCACACTACTATTAAAGCACAATCCACACCATTTGTATACCACTATTATATCACAAATCACACAAATATTCAACAATTAACCATTAATTTGAATCTTACATATATAAATCAAATTTCATACACATTTCATTCAAATAAAATGTTTTGAAAAGAATACAATAAAAATGTCATATGTTTATAAAAAAACTGTAGTTTTAATAATGTAAAAATAAATTGAATATAACACCTATCGTAACAACTTTTTTGTTCTTTTTTAAGTGTTGGAACTTCTGATTCTTTCTCTTTTTTGGATCTTCTAGATGATTTCGAAGACTGCCCGACTTCAACTTTCATCCATTTTTTTATTTTCTTCTTCTTTGATTCAGTCACAAAATCAGAATCATAATAAAATTAGAAGGGGTTTCAACATTTTTCCCCTTTCGATTTACCGGACTTGTCCTTTTATTTGTGGCATTTTTTCTGTTTTTGCTCTTTCAATAGAGATGAATCATCCATAGCCGGAGCTTCTACAATGTTTGGCAGCGGTGTTTGAGTCAAAATGTTGAAAGATGGGGCATACACTTCATCTGTAAAAGTTCCTTTGACTAATTGAGGACTCTTTCAATGAGTTACAACTATTTTCTTCGACATGATTTTATTGAAAAAAACTAAATTAAATGGAGGATTGTGATGTTGGTGTATTTGATGGAAAGAAAGATGTGACAGAGGAAGGTAAAAGTGGGCGGCTAGTGGGTAATTGACGGTTTGGAGGGGGTGGAATTGAAGAATTGGGTAATCAAGGAAACTATTGTAGGGTAATCCTTATATCTATGTGAGTGATAATTTTAGATTTATAAAAGGAACAGAAATCAATTTAATTACATATTATTAATTAATAATTAAAACCCATAAATAGATTAATCATTTATTTAATAAACTAAAATCAATTTTTAAATAAAATTAATTTTAAATGATTTGTCGTAACTCGTAAATAAACTGTTATAAATAAGAATTTTTTAAAAGTATTTTTAACACTCGTAAAATTAATTCTTAAAATATGTATAGACTCTTAAATAGACTCGTGCTTTAAAAATAATATAGCTATATTAAATGGAATAAGAGTTCATGCTTTAAAAGTAATATAGCTATAGTATATAGATATTAACATATGTGCATATGCCCATTGTGACATTATTATTATTGAATACAAAATTCAATCGGTTATCAAAGTTTGATAGTACCATTATAATTAATAGATTACTGAATCTAATTGTACTCCCTAAGTTTCAAATACTTTTCACGTTTTACTTTTCAAAAGTTAATTTAATTAATTTTTAAAGCTAGATTAAATTACACTAGATGAATATAATAAAATTAAATACTATACGAATATTAGCAGAAATTACATTTGTTCTCATACAATGTGAATTTCTCTTATTAATATAAAGTAAGATTTTGCTAAAATCCACATTGTTCAATGAATGGCTCTTGCTCTTTTTTGTCCAACTCGAGAAAAAATTATTATGTTTCTGAGAACCAAAAAATGTGTATTAGTAAAGTTATAAGGCAAAACCCGAAGAAAAATAGTAGAAAGTATGCACTGATTGAAGGATCTGAATTAAATGGAATGCTTTCAATTTCTTAAAACTGAAGTATCACTCTCTCTCTCTCTCTCTCTCTCTCTATATATATATATATATATATATATATATATATATATATATATATA